ACACACCTGTCCATCCCCTCCACCTGCCTCACCACCATCTGGTCACTACCACCCCAACTCAGAAACACTGATTCACTCCCCCAGTTTAAATCACAACCTCGACCTCACCTGTGTAGGACGGCCTGCTCCACCTGACGCCTGTTGTTCTGTCTGTTAATTTGGTGATTGTACTTATTTTAAATTTTGTTCCTTGTCATGTATCTACAGTGTCCTTCAGTGCTGAGAAAGAATAACTTGTCTTATTGCTGTTGGCATGAAGGCTTTGGACACGTGTGAGCAGCGCTATGGAGGAGACGAGTCGGGAGGCGGTGGCCACGGCGGTGCAGCGGGTGGCCGGCATGCTGCAGAGGTCCGACCAGCTGGACAAAGTGGAGCAGTACCGGAGGAGGGAGGCTCGCAAGAAGGCCTCTGTGGAAGCCAGGCTGAAGGTACAGCAGCTACACCCTCGTTATTCATTCACTAACCCGTGTAGTCTGTAGCTGCTGCTCTGCCAACGGCATGTTCAGATCACTTAGAAAAATCAGGTTCAGGCAGTTTATTTGTCCCCTTTAAGAAGAAACAAAGAGAAGCCTTTCAGTTTGCTGCAAGGTCTCTCCCCATTCTTCTCCCCCCTTTCCTGTCTCACTCTCTCACTGTCCTGATTAATAAAGGAAAAAATGCCAGAAAAATACTCTTAAAAAAAAAACAAAAAACGAACCGACGTTCTCTGGTCAAACGTCTCGTGTGCTCTAACGTGACGCCCTGACCTTCTGCTTTACAATCTGCTGGTCCAACCTGCTCTTCCATTCATGGTGGCGAGCTGTTCTGGGCTCGATAAAGCAAAGCAGGCCCAGTTATAAGTGTTCTGATATTCCCTTGGCATATGTCACATTTCTTTTCTGTGCAGTGTTTGATTTCATGTACGACGCTGTGGATGTAACGTTCATCTCATTACTGTTTTATTTGCCTGTGTGGTATTACTAATTACCCCAGTGTAACTGCCAGCACTCTTTTTACTGTCTTCAGTCCTTAAATTTAGAGAAAATACTTATTTCATTTCAGCAGTGTCTCTTATTAGTTTTTGGCAGTTTTCTGTGATCTGATCCTTTGATAGGTTGCTGCTGTTGTTCACCTCACGCCTTCTCTGTCTGACTCCAGCATCCAGATCAGCGACATAGTTCTGTCACACATCTCCAGTAACTCCCACTGAACAACACCTCACCCACAGAGCTTTTATTTTATGTTTTTGTTTTTTTACAGCAGTAGATTTACCATAGTTGTACCAGAGCTGTGGAGCAACCAGCCTCGTCCAGTCAGAGCATCAGGTAGCATCGCTGCCTTTACACAGAGAGCTCCTCTCTGATTGGCTGCACCTCTTGTTTTGTTGAATCTACGACGACGATGCTTATGTCAGTGTTGCTTGTTGTTGTTTGGTGGTATACGTCTGTGTGTGGTCATGTGTGGGTTTGTGGCGTGTTTTGAGATTGTAGACGAGTAACCACGGTAGCTAACCCTGACCCTGACCCCTGATGTCCTCTAGGCAGCCATCCAGTCCCAGCTGGACGGTGTCCGCACTGGACTGACCCAGCTGCACAGCGCCCTGCTGGACGTCAAAGACATCCAGAGCTCACTGGCCGACGTGAGCAAAGACTGGAGGCAGAGCATCAACACCATAGAGAACCTGAAAGATGTCAAGGATGCCGTAGTTCAGCACAGCCAGCTTGCCTCTGCTGTGGAAAACCTCAAAAACATTTTCTCTGGTACGGTTAGTCCACATTAGAGTGTTGTTGGAATGTTTGTTAACAACGTTTTGACAATGTTGAGTGAGCCTGTCAGTGCTGGGTACATCTCTCTGTATTGTGCAGTATGCCAGATTGTTAAATCAGCTTTCTGTGGAGACGTGTGAGCGGCAGCCAGTAGGGATAGGTTTTCCAGGGCTGACCACAGGAGCAGAGACGTAGCAGCACACAGCAGCTAGAGGTGTGATGGAGCCGACAGTGGAGACACCTGTAGAGTGTCCTGAGAAAGGTCACTCAGTGTTCACAGTGTGATTACTCTCAGTGCCTGAAGGGGGAGCCTAAAGGTCTGCCCTGCAGGTATTACCCTAAACTAAAAGTCGTGTGTCCCATAACGGGCTGTTACCATAGAAACATTTGCTGTTTTGTTCTTAACGCTGTGCGTCTTTGTGCCTCTGCTTGGTGTCCAGTCCCAGAGATCGTGGCAGAGACGCAGCAGCTGATCGAGCAGGCAGAGCTGCTGCAGGCCCACAGGAAGCTGATGGAGCTGGAGTGTTCCCGGGACGACCTCATGTACGAGCAGTACCGTATGGACAGCAAGAACACCAGCGACATGAACCTCATCTCCATCTACTTTGAAGATGTAAGTTCCAGTGGCAGTGTGATGGATCTGAACATCCCACCGTAATCTTAAGGGCTTCACCCAGTACTGGTTCCAATACAAACAGCGAGACCCGCAGTGACCTGGAGGGAGTCCCACATGTAACAGACGTTAATGTGCATTCTGTGTGAAGGCGACAGCGCAGCTTTTCATTGTGAGGTTGAAGTGAATAATGCAGTGATGGTCTGTGCCATGCAAGAGGCTTCTGTGAGTAGTCTGATTACCTGCAGCGAGTAGTCATGTACAGTATCACAGGTACAGGTGGGGCCCATCCTTAGATGACAAACTGCCGTTCCCACTAGAAGACAGTGTGTATATAAATATGAAGGAGACAGGTTTAAGAACAGAGTCCTGGCTGGGCCCTCGGCTCTGTGTGGGTAGAGCGTCAGGCTTCAGCTTCTCTCTCCCCTGCTGTGTTTGTGTGTTTAAGGTTCTCAGCAACAGACGGACAGGCCAACACAGCTGCTCTTTTTAAACGCAACCCAGCCTGAGTAATGATGAAGCCAGTCCTGACCGGCGCTCCAGCAGCTCTCATACGTTACAGCTGCATCAGCTGACAAGAGCCAGAGGCCGAGCTGTTTTTAATCGATGATCTTATTATTGAATTTTCAAACAAGAGAATCAACAACGTAAAGATTTCCTTTGTGCCTTACACAGCAGCATAAAGTAAAAAGTCGTAGTGAGCACCAGGTCTGTGCAGAGTGTTGGTACAGAGACAGTCCAGAATCCCAAAAGTGAAAAAGACAAAGCGACCAGAAACAGACCAAAAAATAAAACACAAGACAAATCAATCTGCAAAGCGTTCCCGGTACAGACCAACATAATCAGAGCGACACAGTCAGAAGTCCTCACAGCAGCAAAAGACGTACACAGCTTCTCACTTTATCTGTATTCATCCTTTCATAGTCTCAAACTGAAACTGCAGGAAATAAATTAAGGATGGATGTAAGTAGAGTCATTGGGGATTAGAAAGGTATCCTACAAAGGCTCCCTTACTTTGTCAGATTTCCCTCCTTGGTTCTGAGCAGAAGGAGGATGGGCTTTGAGCCACCGTAGCTGCTGCAGTCTGGTAGATCAGATACAGGGCAACACCTGCAGAGAACTGATCGAATGTATGACCAGTAAAGATGTTCATACCCAGTTCACACATCACCATGTGGAGCTTGTCTGACACAACAAGTGGGAACAAGTGTTGGTTCTGTCTCAGTATGGTTATGGGTCCACCCTGTACGTGGAGGGCTTTGTGGTGTCCCACAGTGAGAAGCAGCTTCCTCCACACCAACAACGAGCCCCAGTGCTGTCTAGTTGTATCATATGTTTTTGGGCTGATTTTGTCTTGAGCTAAACATCTCTCCAGTGAACAGGTCATGACTGGTGCTGAACCGTCTCTGTCGTTCTCCAGGTTCAGGGCTTGTCGGATGAGCTGGCCAAGCAGCTATGGATGGTACTGCAGAGGTCCATGGTGACGGTTCGTCGTGACCCAACCATGCTGGTGTCGGTAGTTCGCATCATCGAGCGAGAAGAGAAGATCGATCGGCGTATGGTTGACCGAAAGAAACAGACGGGCTTCATTCCACCTGGGCGACCCAAACGGTGGAAGGACAAGATGTTTGAGGTCAGAAGACTGGTGGAGGGTCAGAGACACACTCAGAGTGGTGACGAACGTTTACAGTAGATTACAATAGAATATCCTTTATCAGTAAAATGAGGGGAATCTGCAGCGCCACGGTAGCACAGTGAGCGTTACAGAGGGGAGGTGTAGGTAGACACAGCATACATCAGAAGAACATTTACATGAATGAACTGCACTTGGGTTTATTGCCCTGGACAGTTGGTTCTGTCTGTGGTTCTGGTACTGTCATTCTGTGAGCGTGTGAGGTCTGCTGGGAGCGGTGCTGATTATAAAGTCTGGTACCAGCAGTACGGCTCTCACACACCTGGGGGCGCAGTCTGTTGCTACAGGAGCTGCCCAGTGCCCTCAGAGTGTGGTGCTAGTAGACACAGACGGCATTTAAACACAGAACCACAGCCTGAGCAGGAGCTGCTGTACCGGGCTCTAACACTTAGAAATCCAGATAAGTCTTCATACCCTTTAAGGTGTTTGTTGTCTATTATTGATCGATCAGTAGACGTTCAGTTCTGACTTTAAGACCTTTTTTTATCTGTCCCTGGGTCTGGTTCGTCCCGCTGCCGTTCCTCCTCTTGGATCCTTCTTACACGACCATCTAACTCACTGAATTTCCCACTCCTTACTTTGCTTTTTCCTTTGCTTCATACAGTTGTCATTAGTTTTCCAGCAGGTCTTTCCAGACTTCTCCTTCCATCCAAATGACTGCTCTGTGTTTGGTTTACACATAGTCGCGTGTGAAATGATCTGTACCCAACAAGAAGACCACATAGAGCCATGGGCTGATTATAGCCGATGTTGACTGTCTGGAATAAGAGCCTTTGGTGTCACTCTGGGTGACTGTAGCAGCGCCTGAGCCCAGAGCTTTTCATTAAACCCTCGGTTTGCTTCCCGTGCAGGTGTTGGAGGGTACCGTCAGCACTCGCATCGAAGGCACCCAGGCCGTGACGAGAGAGACCGATAAGATGTGGCTCGTCCGTCTTCTGGAAATAACGAGGAAATACGTTCTGGATGACCTGATTGTCGTCAAGAACCTCATGGTGCAGTGCTTCCCTCCTCACTACAACACGTTCAACAGGTAACAGAAGGCCGTGGGTCTGGATAGATGCACAGCACGGTCAGTGCACAAACGGCTAGTTTTCTGTTTACTGTACAAACTCATGAAAATCTTCAAAGCTGGAAGTTCTATATTCATTCCACTGTTACATGTCATTCAGGAAAGTGTTGACATGCATGTGTGGTGCTTCAGGTTCTTCTGTCTGTACCACAACGCTGTGTCCACTCGTGTCAAAGAACTGGCCTCTGAGGACTTGGAGGCCAATGAGATCGTGTCCCTGCTCACCTGGGTCCTCAACACATACAAGAGGTACTCAGACCAGAGACACTGGCAGGTTCTGTACATGTATGTGATGTTTAGTTTTATTCACAGTGCTCATTTCCCTGCATGCAAATGTTCTCCCACAACAAACCACCTGCTGCTGTTGAAGTGAACACAGAAGCTGCAGACTTTGTTTAGCCCCACCTGTGCCTGACTAAAAACATCCGCAGTGGTTCTCCCCCCTGTGCAGGAAGACAGTGAGCTGCAGCCCGGCCGCTATGTTCTGCTGAACGGGCTGAGCAAAGCTAATAGTCCAGTATCTGTGTGTCTACTGATATTTTTCATATATTTAGACTGTATATTTTTTAGACTATTATACATCTAGACTGTATATTTGTAGCTTATTATGTGTTTAGCTCACATAGTGTTTAGTGTGTGTGTATTTTTTCTGCTATGTGTTTTTTCAATGAGGGTTTGAGAGGAAAGCAGTTTCAGGTCTCTGAACATGTACACGTGTAGCAGAACTGACAGTACAGTGACTCTGATGCACATGTTCCAGTGTGGAGATGATGGGCCATCCAGAACTCTGCTCAGAATGTGACATCAACCAGCTGGAGCCTCTGCTGCCTCAGGACGTCGTGGATGACCTGCTCAGTAAATATGTGAAGACCTTTACAGTAAGCAGTACGAGCACCAGCAGGAACGCTCACAGACATTCACTCAGGTGCTTCAGCCTGTAGTTGTGCTCCACTAAAACTAGACCTGAGCAGTAACCAGTGACTGTATCTTAGTTACCAAACAGCCGTTACCGCGTCACAGCTGACCTCCTTTCATGTTACACTTCCACTTCCAGCCCTACAGCTTCTTCTGCACACACGTTTACTTTAAGTAAAGCCAGTAGTGAGGATCTGCTCACCAGGCTGTGGTGTCCATGTCTTCAGTCTAATATCACAGGTTGGCTGCGGAAGGCTCTTGAAACAGATAAAAAGGATTGGCAGAAGGAAACAGAACCTGAGGCTGACCAGGACGGATACTACCAGACCACACTGCCTGCCATCGTCTTCCAGGTAACACACACCTGTGTAGTCTCCATGAACCCAAACAGGAGTGAATGGATCGGGACATTCAACGACTCTCAAACACCTGTTCTCATTCTCTCTCTTCTCAACCTCACTGTGTCCTCCTTCAACCCGTCACAAGATGTTTGAGCAGAATCTGCAAGTTGCTGCACAGATTGATGGGGATTTCAGAGAACAGGTTCTGAAGCTTTGCCTGAAACAAATGAACACTTTCCTTATCAGGTATGTTGTTCATACTTCTTGGCTCTCTTTATGATGAACTTTGTCTAAATCTGTGGACTCTGTTTCACTGTATGCACCCTGAGTTCAGTGAAGACAAGTCTGTAGAACCTGTCTGAGTAATACTGATATGGTGTTAAGCCTTTCCCAGACGGTCCACCACCATGTGCTAGCTACACACCCAGCCCGGGACTTCTGGACGTTGATTTGTGTGTCTAGCACAGTGAAAAACATATTTACTTAGGTTAGATTATATGCACTTAGCATCTCAGAAACCTCAGTGCTTATGTTCACACTGGACCTTCAGTATTATTCCACAGTTCCTACTGTACATCCATCACTTTGTCATATTGTGACAAACATCATGTATCAGTTAGTTTCTCTTTCTGCCAGTAACTCTTAGAGGACTGCCAGTTCTTGCCAGTCCTCTATCCAAAGCACTGGGACAGCAGATGTTCAGGTTGTCCCACGTTAGCGTTAGTCTTGGTTGTGTGTGTGAAGCTAACACGTGTGTGGTCTGTAGGTACAGGGAGGAGGTGGTGACCTACAAAGAGGAGCACCTCAGAGACAGACAGCTGCCTCAGTGCTACGTACAGTACATGATCGCCATCATCAACAACTGCCAGACGTTCAAGTAAGGTTTGGTTTTATACAGAAACTCATGTTTAAAGAAGTCTGAGTCTGCTCACGGTGTCATGATGTCAAGTTTATGACGTAGACTGTGGTGGAGACCGCTGTAGTTGATAAGCAGCATGCTACCTAAAATCCTGCCAATTGGAGGCAGCAGTGTGCTCATAAAGGACAGCCCGATAATCCAAGTGGGAGGAAAACGCTCTCAGCCCCTTTTCCACGGTTTTCAGGAAACCTGCACATGTTGTTGTGGCCGTGCATCAGTTTTCTGTCTGATGTTTAGGAGGCAGAACATTTAAGAAAAGGCAAAAAACAGACAGACGTTTGGATTGTTCAGCCCTCGTCCTGCAGCTCTCCCACCAGATGAGCGTACACTTCAAACAGGCAGCGATAGACGGTCATGTGTGGCTTCACTCAGACCCAGAACCTCACTGTCCCACCTCACCTATTGCGCCACCACGTCCTGTTCTCTCTGCAGACTGTGTGGCCATTTATACTGAAATACGTTATCTGAACGATGAAACAAAAGCCTGTTTTAGCTGTAGTCTCTGATCACAGTCTGGGTTTTGTAAAGCCGGGAAGCTGTGTCGGGGCACCTGGTTGGATTTCCTGTTCAGCCACTTCAGTGACAAAGTGCTGAAAGGTCACTCCATCTGAGCACGGGCTTTTGAATTTATAGTCGCGGTAAGATTCAAGAGGGTTGTTGTTATATGCACAAAGACACTACACTGCACAAGGAAAACTATGACTTGCTGATCCTCCTGAACCAATGTAAGAAAAGCGACAGCAGCTGAAATAAATCACACACCTGAACTGACAGTGGCAGCAGGTGTAAAGTACACTGTGCTGTATTGTTCACGTGGTTTCCATAAAATGACTACGGCACAGCTGGCTGCAGTTTAGCACTAAGCTGGTCAGATCAGTAGGCCCGTTATCGTAGGTGTTCTGCCCACCAGAGACTGCTCATGACAGCATCGGGGCATCCGCAGCCTGCAGCTGACCAGATGCTGATGCACTCATTTCTCATGTGTCCTCGTAGCTTTTTCATGTTTAAAATCAAACACAACTTTAGAACATTTTCAAAGAAAATTGCTGGAAGTTGCCCAGAGTATTACAAGGGTAGAAGTTCCTGCTGTTCAGATGCTGATGGCCTGTGTTGGCCTGACATGTAGCGGTTACACGGTGAAGCTGTGGATGCTGGCCTCCAGGTCCAAGGGTCCCAGGACCCTGATCTCAGAACAGTACTTGAAAATAGTTGTTCTATTTCATCCCTGCTGAACGCCAGAGGCGGTGCTTTAAGCACTGAATATTCCCCTTCGCGCATGCGCAGTTCGAGTATGAATACCAACAATGTCACCTGTGACACCTGGATGACCCCGGGGGAGACTATATCTTCCGGTGTCAT